GCTTGATTGTCCTAATATTTAGAAATAGGATGAGAAGTCCTGTAAATTCCGAAGACAATCAGTTATTATGCACTACAGGCAATAGTCAAGGAGGCAGAAGTCGGAATGGTTAGAAGCACATTATATTTCCACGATTAGCAGCAGCAAAAGATGCAATTACCGCCACAACCAAAAAAGTGTATATATAAACAACATTCGTTTTTACAAGTATTAGGAATAATGTACAGAATGTGTAAAAGAAAAGATGAAAAGGAAATATTGCTTATAGTTGAAGCGGTTTACACACAATTTTATGCAGTCTCCACACAGCTCCTCCCCCCCTTAAAAATCCAGAGGAACTGTCTGGTAGAAAGAGAAAAAGAAAATGAGCACTCAGGGCCAAACCAAAAAATATATATATAGGTAGATAAAAATTATATATGCCTGAGGCTGTTATTCAGAAGTCTATTAGTGAGGAAACAAAATTAATACGAAAATTTATAAGTAATGCTTATAGTTGAAGTGGTTTATACACAATTGTATGCAGTCTCCACACCTTTTAATCTTCCGATCATTTAAAAGCACAAAATTTTGACGGCGTCTATTTCTGTCTATACACAAATTTTCATGTTCGTCTTACCAACCGGCTTCAACTCATTGCATTATTGCATGAATTGTCTTTCACTCTCCCATCAACTAACCTACCAATTAGTCTTCTAACATGATCTCATCTGAACACCAAAAGACTTCCCCGAAGTCTCTCTTGAATTAGACAGATAAGTAAATACTCTATGCATGTCTTACTAACAGTTTGTGGTGTTTTTATTTCTTGACCTATTATGTCAATTAATGTTAGCTAACTTCACTAGATTTCAACATGTCTAACCTCGCCTGGTTAACTAGTCCACTAGTTACTAGCCGGTCCTAAGCCCGGGTAAAGAGGGAAGGTTGGGCATAAGGCTAGCAACCCTACACCGTAAAACAAATCTAACCGCTTAAGAAACTTCAAAGCACAAACAAAATATAAAAAATAAAAACAAAATTATTCCTCACTGGAATCGCAGAGTTAAAAGGACGCCAGTTGGCGAAAGCCTTCACAAAGCCAATTCCCCTATGTTTCTTCTCTCTCGATGAAAGCGAAAGTAAACGTGTAGACATGAAGTGTCCGCACCATGTTTGAACCTAGCAAGGCTGCTCAGATTGCAAACGAGATGAGAAGGTATCACATTGAAGTGAGGGGAATTCGCGACAGCAGGTGGAATGGAAGTGGACTCTTCAGACTGTCAACTGGAGAATCAATAATCTACTCCGATATTGTCACCCAGACGACAACCACGAACACAGCACACTGAGTATTGGAGTGGCTATCATGATGTCCCCAATAGCATCGAAGGCTCTCATGCAGTTGGAACCAATCTCCATCAGGATCATGACAGCAAGGTTCAACTCAAAAGGAGGGAAGGAAGGTCACAATCATTAAATGCTCCACCACGCACCTACAAATAATGCAGATGAAGAGAAGAAGGAGGAATTCTACAGACAACTGCAATCAACACTCGACAAGACGCCACTCCAGTTGGCGATATCAAAATTCTAATGGGTGGGGTGACATGAATGCCAAACTGGGAGGGGACAATACAGGAAGAGAACTAACCATGAGTCGAGAAGCATTCGAAGAAATGAACGAGAATGGAGAATTGTTTGCGCATTCAAAGATTTGGTGATTGGAGTCAGTGTGTTCAAGCACAAAGATATTCACAAAGCAACATGAATTTCCCCAGATGGACACACTAAAAATCAGATCTGCTTCATCTCAATATCAGGAAAGTGGAGACGCAGCCTACTTGACACCAGATCAAGAGGGGGAGCAGATGTAGGCTCACACCACTCACTATCTAGTGCAAGAAACCTTCAAAATCAAGTTAAAAGCCTTCAAGAAAGCTGGTGATAGAACACGGTTAAAGTACAACACTCGGAAACTGAAGGATGAAACTACAAAGGAAATCTTCACAGCAGCCATTAAGACAAAGTGGGAGTTATCGAGGAACATCCCTGAAGAAACCTGTGTGGAAGAACACTGGAATTCTTTGAAAGAGGTGTGGAAAGAAACCTGCACAACCGTATTAGGAAGGAGGAAGAAAGAAGATAAGGAATGGATCTCGACGGACACATGGATGCTGATAGAGCAGGGAGAGGAGGATGGTGAAGCAGAAGATAAACCAGTGCAGTGCAAGGATGCTCAACAATAAGAGGAACTGAGCACAATGTATAGAACACTACACTGGACAAAGAAGTGAAGAAGAGTGAATGGAAAGACAGAAGACGCTTCCACGACGCACCGGCAAGTGAAGCAGAACAAGTCTGTTCTGCAGGTAGGAGAGACACAGATCTGACAACATTGTATCAAATAACCAAATTACTATCTGGGAAGAGATCAACACAGATGAAACCAATAAAAGATGATGAAGGATATCGAATTGCCAAAGAAAAGAAACAAAGGAAACGATGGGTTGACCATTTCAAAAAGCTCTTGAATCGACCACCACCTGCAGCCACTGAACTACAAGTGAACACAAGCCCTCTGAAGATAGTCGAAGTCCTGAGCGCCATAAAGCCACTGGAATGTGGGAAAGCAGCAGGACCAGATGGAATCCCACCAGAAGCACTGAGAGCAGACACAGAGACAACAGCGGACATGCTCACACCACACCAGTATTGCAGAAGGTCTTGAAGGGAGGAAGGGAAGGTACCTGCCCACTGATTGGAAGAAATGCTACCTTGTCAAACTGCCGAAGAAGGGAGACCTCAGTGTTTGCAAGAACTGGCGAGGAATCACTCTCCTGCCCACCCTAAGCAAGCAAAATATTAAGCCTCATCATCCTGGAGAGGCTAATGGATGCACTGGATTCAAAACTACGACCGGAACAGTCTGGCTGGCTGGATTCAGGAAATACAAATCATGTGCGGACGAAATCGCAAAGCTACGCGTCATAATTGAACAGAGTATAGAATGGCAATCAGCTCTCTACCTCAACTTTATCGACTTTGAGTAGGCCTTTGACAGCGTCGACCGAGAAGTTATTTGGAAACTGCTTCATTACTACGGAGTACCGCAAACCTTTTTCCGCCTCATTCAACAACAGCTATATGAAGATGCTACATGCCAAGTAATTCACAATGGGAAGCTCAGTGATGCTTTTGAAGTGAAGTGAAGACGGGAGTGAAACAAGGTTGCCTACTTTCCCCCATGATATTCCTGATTGTGGTCGACTGACTGGATCATGCAGCAAACAGTGGGGAGCGAGAAGAGGGGGATACAATGGCTGGACTGCGGAAAAGAACCTAGAAGACTTGGATTTCGCCGATGACTTCTGCCTGATGTCACATAAACTTGAAGATCTGCAGGCAAAAAGTAACAAGTTGGCAGAAGAGGTAGGGTAGCGAAGATGGGACTTCAAGTGAATGTAGAGAAGACAGAGGTGATGAAGATACCGCACCAACAACAAACTCTAGTCACCATCAACGGGAGAAACTTAAAGGAAGTCACCTCCTTCACCTATCTAGGAAGCACTGCTTCATTTACAGGCGGTGACACAGACGAGGACGTCAAAGTCAGAATCAGAAAGACAGAAAGACAGGCGTTCATTAGCCTGAAACCAGTATGGAGATCTGCACTCAGCATGTGGAACAAGATACGGATTTTCAACACCAACGTCAAGTCAGTGCTTCTGTATGGTTGAGAGACTTGGCGCGTCACGAAAGGCATTTCCAATAAACTACAGACATTCATCAACAACTGCTTACGCTGGCTCGTTACTGAAGATCAGATGGACTGCCAGAAAGAATAAGCAACAAGGAACTCTGGGAACGAACCAACCAAGAACCTATCACGCAACAAATATGCACTGGAAGGAAGTGGAGATGGATTGGATTGAGCATACACTGAGAAGGCCGATCGGGGACATCATGTGCGAGGCCAGTCAGTCGAGTGGAAGCGGGATGGGAAGCGACGAGTTAGACGTCCGAGTGTGACATGGAGGAGATCGTGTGAGGAGGAAATGAGAGCTTGTGGGCTGTCATGGAGCCAGGTTGAAAAGACTCCAGAGAAGAGAGTGAAATGGCGATATGCTACTGAAGCCCAATGTTCTATTAGGAACCCAAGGGACCAATAATAAAAATAGTAATAAAAACACTAGATTTCAAGATGTCTATACAGATGGTGTTATTATTTGATGTTGAAATCTTTTAGACTACGAACAACCTGGGAAATAAAATGGTTCATTGTTCTTCTGCTTCACTCTTTATTCCTCTCAAGTGTTTGTCACAACTCGTTTTCCTCTTGATTGAAATTAGAGAAAGAAATGGATAGTTGGTAGTGTATACTCTTAAAATTTTGTTGCTTGGATTAGCGTTGAGAAACTTGATTATTGTACAACGAACTCAAGTATGTTAGTTGTTTATTGATTGCTGCAATATAAACAGCAGGAAGTCAAAATTGCTAAGATAATCTGAAATGAAATCGGATTTCGAAGACAGTCATTGATTGCCAACTGATTGCTAACATATTGGAGAGGAAATGAATGATAAATTGGCATCATTTTGAGAATTTATGAGGAATTACACCTTCAATACTAAAAGTCAGTTGGGATGAGGACGACATTGAGTGATGGTGAAGACATACCATGAATGGAATCAAACAAGGCAGTAAAGCTAATTACATTGTGAACCATTCGTTGACTACTGATATTGGTCATCGGATGGCTCGCTTACTCGTTCACATGTTGTTGTTGTATATTGATGTGGTTGTATACTAAGAAAGAATTTCCAAGTTCAAACGAAATAGTCATTCTCTAGCTTATCCTCATGCACGACAAGAACCATCTTCACTTCATTCATCTCCCCGTTATCAACAACCTAAATAATAATAACTATTCATGGTATCACATGAGCAGTAATTAGAGAAGGCAAAATATAAGCATATTTATTGAAAGTTTCAACCAGCATTTAAAATTCGAAGAGTAAATCATCCAATGACTCCGCTGGTATTCATTCAACATACACTCACCATCCACATGATAATCAAGAATTTGTTCTCAGAAATTACACCTCAAACATTCTATGTCACGTAGTCTGTATTAACACAACAATATTCGATAACCAATCAAAGTCAATGTGTTATGTGTTTGTCAAGATGATAGACACTTTGTATGGTGTACACCAGGTGTACTATGCCCTCACAATAACAGTCAACATATATTTTCAATCAAATGATACATTATCATCTCGAATATAACTAATACTCTTCATATTCTCATCACCTGTCATCATCTAACAATTGTTTCAAAATGCAGAATGTTGCATACTACATTCTATGAAGGATTTATTACAAGGAACTACTGACAGAAATAATGGTTTACTTCAAATCAACATCATATCTAATGTTCATGAAAAAATCCCATTTTAAATTTGTGTTGATTGGATTTCCAATCATTCTATTCATCACCAACATGATCATTCCTGTAAAATATGAATACCGACCGTTTGGAAGTGTTTATCAAAATTTGGATAGAAAGTTGACTGATATTTGTGAAGCATTTTTACACACAACACCGAATCAAAGCTTTGCACAACAGTATGCGCATTACTCAACTCATAGTCATCTTTTATACAAATGGAATACTTTCAATGATTGTAAAGTCTTTCAAGACTCCTTGAAACATTTGTCATGGTCCAGTAGAGAGGAATCAAGTTATCCAATTGGATTTGCTTTCACTGTCTACGAAGATATTGAACGTGTAGCTCGTCTTATACGTCTTCTCTATAGATCGCATAACTTGTACTGTATACATGTGGATCGTAAAGCTTCAGATGAATTTTATCAGTCAGTAATTGACCTGGCTAATTGTTTGGGTTCCAATGTTCAAGTTATCACTCGTTCAGATAGTGTTTCAGTTCAATGGGGTTATTTCTCAGTACTTGATTCATTTCTCAAGTGTACTCAGTTAATGCTGAATAATACAAAAATCAAATGGAAATATGTTCTGAATGTGAATGGAAAGGAATTACCACTACGCACCAATTGGGAGTTGATTAAAGCTTTGAAATCGTTGAATGGAGCCAATGTAATTGGAGGTACAATCAAAAATGGACCTAAGAAAAGGATTCCTCTAAGAAAACCTTCTTTTCACGTAAGTCACCTGCAAGTTTTGTGATATCACGTCTGCGTTAAATATTGAGGAATAAATCGACTACTAAACAGAAAACACAAACGAATTCGATGTATATCTTGCTATCAGCTACTGACTTGTTAGCGGAGTAGCGATAGAACACAATAAGGTTCAATGGTAATCATACAACAACTGTGGCACTACAATTTAAAATCAATAAACTGAACTTCTACCTCATGTCAGATGTGGCACACTTACATCCATTCAGGTTGTAAGTGATCCATAGAAGGACGGGATCACATACATGTATTAGTCAGAATGCAGGTAACCAGTTTAGCTAGTTTTCTATTCTTTTGTACTCAAAGTCTGTCGATATAGTTTGAAGCGTGGCAATAAGGTAAGTAAACATTAAAGACTAGATAGCTGTGTAAATTAGTCGTCTCGGTGAACTTCGTTTTGATGGTTTGACTTTATTAACCATCATATACATCTTCAATGTTCTCTTCACTAGCTCCATTTCTGAATATCTGAATGAAATCTTTTGTAATACTAGTTTCAAAGATATTTGAAATTCTCTTCTTAATCAAACAACTCTCTACTGTATTTTTCTCTTGCATTCTTTGAACACATAACAAGGTGACATGGATAAAAGGAAGTTTTCTGGTAGCTTTACGTAGAGAATTCGTCAAATATGTGCACACAAATCCAAAATCCATTGAACTATTAACTATCCTAAAAGAGGAAGAACATTTGAAAAGAATTCCAGATGAAATGTTTTTTAGTACACTGGCTTATAATCCACAACTTGGAGCTCCAGGTGCCTGTAAGCAATTTCATCGATCCAATGAAAATAATGACAGTCGATCAACATTTGTATCACGTTTTGTTATCTGGAAACCAAAATATTGTGCAACAGGCAAACGCTATCATACAATATGTATGCTTGGTGTACAACATCTTTATCAGTTAACAAAACGTGAAGAATTCTTTGCAAATAAATTCTACAAAGGTTTCTATGACACAGCATATGATTGTTTAGAATATTGGATACTGAAAAAGATGAAAAATGAACGTTTAACAGGTAGACTTGATTCAACAACATTCAATGCTACATTCTACTCTGAATTATACTGCTCTCAACAGCATATCTAATACAATGTGATGATGTAAACGATTATTATTTCAATAAATATAAACAAAGAGAAGTTAGTTCATTGAGTAGTTCTTGTTTAAAGGTGACGATAACATTTTCTTCATATAGAGTTACATATTATTATAACTAGAATTTGCATTTCGTAATAGAACGGACTTCCCATAGAGGAAGATTAACAGTTGTCTCAGTAATTTTATATATAACCAGTTGAGAAATGTCAGTCTATCTCAAACAATGTGTAAAACGCTTCAATCAACCAGAGTCACACAATCCTAAATACTCCATAATCTCATTAGTATATCCATATTTGGCACATTTAATTGGTGACTGACTATTGAGAAAGCGCTAAGTGTAGATGATAGGTTTTACTGTTCAATTTAATCTTCGTAGAAAATGGAATAATAAAGTTTGATAGAAGACGAAATACAGCAGAAGCAGTTACAGAACATTCAGCGGGAGCATTATTGTAGGTGTTTGGGTGATAAAACTCAGACAAAATGTTCATGTTTGTATTATTCTTATCAATGCCTCAACTAACCTATAAACATTAACTACAAAGTGAAGTAAAAGATAAGTCTTTTCATTTACAACTGGCTGAAACAAAAATATTTTCAACAGAAACATTCAAAACATTGAGTAGGATGAATTAAGGAATACATATGGCTGTCAACAGTTCAGGAAAACACTCAGTGTGTAAATGTAGAAATCTAGACAGTATCAGAACAAACGTCGGTTGATCATTTGCAGATACTCACTCAATAAAACAAGCATTTAAAAGATGAACATCGCAACATGACAACGTTGTACACCATGTAACGAGTATTTCAACAGTCCAAGACTACTTTTTCATTTGATATCCACAAGCTACTCTGTATTCTGCCTTTGGTATACACTCATGCCTCAATCTCAAAGCTTCTAAAGTAACGCGACTTTCATACTGACAGTTCTCAAGACACCATGTTTTCTCAAGTAAGGGTTAATAGAATACAATGAGTTATTTCACTTCGTTCAACAAACAGTCCCGTAGATGCGGGCCATTGAAACTAGATGTTTCAAGGAGGGATTTTTGAAATCCAACACCATTTACTGCTGAATCGAAGGTAAATATCATTTTTAAAAATGTTCAGATTGAATACTTCCCTGTAGCTCTACTGAGTGAAGTTTTCAAAATCATGCTAAATATAGTCTCCAGTGCATCAGAACTTCAAAAGGGATTGAAGTGAATTCGTTATGCGTGGAAATTTATCACATGCCACCTTAACGTTATTCAAATAAAAAGGACCAATTTTAGATTCGCCAACTATTTTGTGATCCGGTTTTAATAATATATCTGATAACCTACTAACAGTTCAGTGTACTCCGTAGCCATTTATTTTTCCCAGCTCTGAGGCATAAAAGGGGTAGATATGAGGAGTTTATAGATTTTCTATCACTCATACCTTCGGGAAATTACTCATTAGTGATAGAAGGGTATAGTGGATAATGTTGAGTTTAGGCATAGACTATAAGGTGAAAAAAAGAAATCTCCATTCATATCAGCCTTCACAACAAGTTACAATGAACTTTCAATATCATTCATACTTCTTGTTTAGGTGGAAATATACTTTTACTTTTATCATGAACATACAGACAGAATTTCATTAGATGATGAGAAACGGTTTCGCCATTAGTGTTGAAGATACAAGTAAGATGACGATGTTGATGAGTTAAAGTCAAGTTGTGCAGTCTATATATATATTCATCACCTGAACTCAAGCATTTGAGTGTCGTTGTATTCATTACAACCTTATATCCATCACATGGAAGAGTGGATTGAGGGACACAAAATTTGTTTTGACTAATTCTTGCGTATACAATATTTACTGTGAGTAGTTTTTCCATTCCCCGCCTTGCGGTGGTGAAATGACAGACAACTGTCGAAGTAAAGACATTTTGTCAAATCTTTTCAACTAGACTACAGTTCATTTCTCTCAAGCATGTGCATGCCTCAAGTGTTTGAATCACTGGCGAATGATGACAATGGATAATTCAATGAGGTATGTGTCGGATAGATATTTGAGTAGATTACACATATGCACTTTTTACAATTACTGAGTTAAGTGACAGCCAGATGCGTCATCACTCAACAATTTGGTTCCATCATCATATATTTACATTGGTTGTCCATTTACACGTTATTGTAACAGCGGTACATCTTCGGGATCATTAAGTGTTTAAGATATGAATAGGAACTGTGAAAGTGACATGGTATTCAGATGATAATTAAGATTTCAATGTAGAACAATAGCGTCATCTTGTGTAGCATATCACTTCTGTTAATGAAACGAGTTTTAACAAAATGATCGGTTCACATTCAGCTAACAGATTGAGATGACAAGCTTTTCATTCAGAAGAGAAAACCAATCGGCTATTTTCAAATTATTATTCATTTCAGTACAAATCATAGAAATGAATAACACCCAACTGATCATCAAGAAATAATTGCAAGACAGATACCTTGACAATTTATTGAGAAGTCATTGACTCATCATTTATTCTGGTTTGGGAAGAAGATTATGTTGACTTAATACACGTATCATGTTTACGCTTTCTTCCACATCTTGTTAGGCTAACTGTACAGGCATTTGAATTTCTTCAAACACTAGCTAACAAGTCTCAGTGCCTAGTAATTGAATATCTGATTCAGTCTACTGCACATCTGTCTCTTAGTTGTTCACAAGACCAACTTGTATCCATCACGAAACTTATGTTATCTCAATGATTTCAGTGAATATTGATCAATTTTGAATTGTTAGACTATGACATAGAATCATTCAGACTGCTTCATTTAGTGTCAGACTGAAATGAATGTATCAACCGGTCCATGAATGGTAACCGATTGCGTTGTCTTCATGTAAGTACTGATTCTTCTGACTGACTGCTACTATGCTCAGTAGTAAATTACAACACACCACACTGACATGTCCCATAGTCCATGGAATGACCATGAAGTAAGATTGCGCAATAAACCAAGCAGGATAAGAATCTAGGAATAGAGTGTGACACTATTTTACAACCACTTATGACTTTTTTCTATTCGACGCTTATTTCAGAATAGTCATCACATTAGGTGAGATTGTTTTCATCAAGTCACACTGAAAACTTCAACTATCAGTCAGTCGGTAATTCACATATATAAAAATAGAAGTCAATATGATGTCTTTGTTTCTGATCTATGAGACAATGAATCGAAACACTAATCTAAAATTCCACCAAATCATCTTATACACAATTACTAAATAATACTAGTGAACTATGCTCAACATGCGTGTGTATGTTCTGATCAGGGTTCATGTTTGCTTGAAGTATCATTTATCGTTTCATTACTACTCAGTGATCATTAAATTTGTTGTTCATCTAGTAATTGAAATATACTTCAAAAAAGTGTTTGATTGTATCCACATTTTACCCACTTATTATTATTATTAACCTCGCCTGGTTAACTAGTTTACTAGTTACTAGCCGGTCCTAAGCCCGGGTAAAGAGGGAAGGTTGGGCATAGGGCTAGCAACCCTACCCCGTAAAACAAATCTAACCGCTAAAGAAACTTCAAAGCACAAACAAAATATAAAAAATGAAAACAAACTTATTCCCCGCTGGAATCGGAGAGGCGAAATGACGCCAGTTGGTGAAAGCCTTCACAAAGCCAATTCCCCTATGTATCTTCTCTCCCTCGATGAAAGCGAAAGTGAGAATGGGGACATGGAATGTTCGTACGATGTTTGAACCCAGTAAGGCAGCCCAGATTGCAAAGGAGATGAGAAGGTATCACATCGAAGTGCTTGGGATTTGCGAAAGCAGATGGAATGGGAGTGGACTCTCCAAACTGTCAACTGGAGAATCAATAATCTACTCCAATATTGTCACCCAGACGCCAACCACGAGCACATTGAGGGAGTGGCTATCATGATGTCCTCAAGAGCATCGAAGGCTCTCATGCAGTTGGAACCAATCTTCTCCAGGATCATGACAGCAAGATTCGACTCAAAAGGAAGGAAGGTCACAATCATACAATGTTATGCACCTACAAATAATGCAGAGCAAGAGAAAAAGGAGGATTTCTACAGAAAACTTCAATCAACACTGGACAAGACGTCAGTTGGCGACATCAAAATTCTAATGGGCGACATGAATGCGAAACTGGGAGGGGGAGGACAACACGGGAAGAGAACTAACCATGGGTCGAGAGGCGCTAGGTGAAATGAATGAGAATGGAGAATTGTTTGCAGAATTCTGCGCATTCAACGATTTGGTGATTGGAGGCAGTGTGTTCAGGCACAAAGATATCCACAAAGCGACATGGATTTCACCAGATGGACACACTAAAAATCAAATCTACTTCATCTCAATCTCAAGAAAATAGAGACGCAGTCTACTTAACACAAGGTCTAGAAGAGGAGCAGATGTAGGTTGAGACCACTATCTAGTGCAAGGAACCTTCCAAATCAAGTTAAAAGCCTTCAGGGAAGCTGGTGATAGACCTCAGTTCAAGTACAATACTCGGAAACTGAAGGATGAAACTACAAAGGAAATCTTCACGGCAGCCATCAAGACAAAGTGGGAGTTATCGAGGAACATCCCTGAAGAAACCTGTGTGGAAGAACACTGGAAGTCTTTGAAAGCTATGTGGAAAGAAACCTGCACAACCGTATTAGGAAGGAGGAAGAAAGAAGATAAGGAATGGATCTCGACAGATACCTGGAAGCTGATAGAGGAGAGGAGGATGGTGAAGCAGAAGACAAACCAGTGCAAGGATGCTCAACAATAAGAGGAACTGAGCACAATGTATAAAACACTGAACAAAGAAGTGAAGAAGAGTGCACGCAAAGACAAAAGACACTTCTACGAAACACTGGCAAGTGAAGCAGAACAGGCTGCCGGCTGGTAGGAGGGACAGACACCTGACGACATTGTATCAAATAACCAGGTTGCTATCAGGGAAGAGACCAACACAGATGAAACCAATAAAAGATGAAGAAGGAAATTTAATTACAAAAGAAGAGAAACAGAGGAAACGATGGGCCGACCACTTCAAGAAGCTCTTGAATCGACCACCACCTGCACTTCGCCCAGAAATACCACCTGCAGCCGCTGAACTACAAGTGAACATTAATCCCCCAACGAAAATGGAAGTCCTGAACGCCATAAAGCTACTGAAATGCGGGAAAGCAGCAGGACCAGATGGGATACCGCCAGAAGCACTGAGAACAGATGCAGAGACAACAGCGGACATGCTCACACCACACCAGTATTGCAGAAGGTGTGGAAGGAAGAGAAGGTACCTGACGATTGTAAGAAGGGTTACCTTGTCAAACTGCCGAAGAAGGGAGACCTCAGTGCTTGCAAGAACTGGCGCGGAATCACTCTCCTGTCCACCCCAAGTAAAATATTAAGCCTCATCATCCTGGAGAGGCTTAAAGATGCACTGGATTCAAAACTACGACCGGAACAGGCAGGCTTCAGGAAGTACAAATCATGTGCAGACCAAATTGCAACGCCGCTCTACGCATCATCATAGAACAGAGTATAGAATGGCAATCAACTCTCTACCTCAACTTCATCGACTTTGAGAAGGCCTTCGACAGCGTCGACCGAGAGGTAATTTGGAAACTGCTTCAATACTACGGAGTACCGCAAACCTTTATCCGCCTCATTCAACAACTATATGAAGATGCCACATGCCAGCCAAGTAATTCACAATGGGAAGCTCAGTGATACTTTTGAAGTGAAGACGGGAGTGAAACAAGGTTGCCTACTATCACCCATGATATTCCTGATTGTGGTCGACTGGATCATGCAGCAAACAGTGGGGAGCGAGAAGAGGGGGCTACAATGGCTGGACTGCGGAAAAGAACCTAGAAGACTTGGATTTCGCCGATGGCTTGTGCCTAATGTCACATAAACTTGAAGATCTGCAGGCAAAAACTAACAAGTTGATAGAAGAGGCAGCTAAGACGGGACTTCAGGTGAATATAGAGAAGACAGAAGTGATGAAGATACCGCACCACCACCATCAACAACAACAACAAACTCCAATCACCGTCAACGGGAGAAACTTGAAGGAAGTAACCTCCTTCACTTATCTAGGAAGCACTGTTCCAACTACAGGCGGGACGGACGAAGACGTCAAAGTCAGAATTGGAAAAGCAAGACAGGCGTTCATTAGCCTGAAACCAGTGTGGAGATCTTCTGCACTCAGCATGCGGAACAAGATACGGATTTTCAACACCAACGTCAAGTCAGTGCTCCTGTATGGTTGAGAGACTTGGCGCGTCACGAAAGGCATTTCTAATAAACTACAGACATTCATCAACAACTGCTTACGCTGGCTCGCTACTGAAGATCAGATGGACTGCCAGAAAGAATAAGCAACAAGGAACTCTGGGAACGAACCAACCAAGAACCTATCACGCAACAAATATGCAGGAAGAAGTGGAGATGGATTGGCCATGCACTGAGAAGGCCGACTGAGGACATCACGCGTCAGGGCCTCGAGTGGAATCCCCATGGGAAGCGACGAGTTGGACGTCCGAGGGTGACATGGAGGAGGTCATGCGAGGAGGAAATGAGAGGTTGTGGGCTGTCGTGGAACCAGGTTCAAAAGATCTCAGAGAACATAGGTCACTGGAGGCGTGCTACTGAAGCCCTATGTTCCACTAGGAACCCAAGGGACTAATAATAATAAATAATAATACATATATATATATATATATATTATATATATATCAGAATTGCGGCTTTCAGTGAGTCGTTTTCTAAGGCTGGAGCTTTGTTCAGCAGACTTCACAATGTACTACTAGATATCGTCATCAATGCGACGACGTCACGGTAGGGTACTCATTTAATTTGACACTCGACTTTTAATTTACCAGTGAGCACAAAAGGTGTTCTGTTTGCGAAAGTTTGAGTAGTCAGATAGCACACAGCAGGTGAAACTCAAAACCACTTTACTAGAGAATAGTTTATCCAATCCTACCTGATCTTTAGTGTTGATTCACCTAGTGATAACCTCTTGGACTGAAACATTGACTGATATAAGTTCAAATCACTGCAAAATATTGAGTCCTATACACCAACAAGTTAGACATCAAACTATCTTCAAGCACCAGTCATAACTTTCCTTTCACACTTACGCGACTGAAATCAGAAAAAATCAAAACCTGTGCTTCTAGAATCTTAATCCTTCGCTTTAAAGTGTTAGTATGGTTTTGAACAACTAGAAAAGGTTTTTTAGCTCTCCAAACAGCACTTGACCCTGAAATATTTGGATTTCGTCGTCAATAATGATTTATGTCTAGTGTTGCACAAGCTCGAAGATCTACAGGCAAAAACTAACAAGTTGGTAGAAGAGGCAGAGAAGATGGGGCTTCCTTCAAGTGAACGTAGAGAAGACAGGGGTGATGAAGATACTCAAACAACAACAACAACAAGCACCAATCACCATCAACGGGAGGAATCTAAACGAAGTTGTTTCTTTCACCTACCTAGGCAAAACAGTATCGTTTCAACTACAGGTGGCACAGGCACAGACGAGGATGTCAAAATCAAGATCGGAAAAACAGGACAGGCTTTCACTAATCTAAAATCAGTATGGAGATCTACTATGCTCAGCATAAAGCACGAAAAACGTACGGATTTTGAACACCAACGTCAAGTCAGTGCTGCTGCATGGTTCAGAAACTTGGCGCGTCACGAAAAGCATTTCCAACAAACTACACACATTTATCAACAGCTGCCGCCCACGCTCACTCACTCGGTACTAGCACTGAAGATCAGATGGATTGCCAGAATAATAAGAATAAGCAACAAGGAACTCACTCTGCCTGGCAACCAACCAACCAACTCATTGTCCAAAAAATATGCAGAAGAAAGTGGAGATGGATTGGCCATATACTGAGAAGACCATTTGGGGACACCAAGCGTCAGGCTAGTCGCTCGAGTGGAATCCAAAAGGGAAACGACGAGTTGGGCGTCTCAGGTGAGGGTGACATGGAGATCATATGAGGAACAAATGAAAGTGTGGGCAGTGGTGGAACCAAGTTGAAAAAAATGTAGAGAACAGAGCGAAATGGAGACCTGCTACGAAGTCTTATGTTCCACTAGGAACCCAAGGGACAAATAATAAAATAATAAACAGCACTTCTGTTGCAGAAATAACGAAAAATAACTTAGTGACTGGTTTTTTCACTTAAGTTCGTCTTTAAAGAAAGATACAGTGCATTCTGTCTCATCCCACAGTAACGAAGTTGCAAATACAAAGACAGTTGGTAACTTCATTCAAATGTTTTTTGTCAGGGTTGAGTGAAAATAGCTGATTATTGAATTTTCGTTCACTGAATCATATGCGATATGAGCAACAAAAGCGATTTAATGTCCAATGCAAATCCGGAGAAAACTTGCTATTTTTTGGAGTTAGGAAGTACAAAAATGAAGTGTGGAAAGCATGTCTCAATGTTTAAGACCACCTTGCCATCACTAGAGAAAATTAATTATATGAGGAAGCTCATTGGTATTCCCCGCATACTGCTTCACCAACAAATTAACAACTAAATGAGTGCTTTATGTAGTTTAGATATCGCAGGTTGCAGGCAACTAAATAGGTCCAAAAAATAAAGTCATTTCATTCTGCTGAAAATATCAACGACTGTTCAGTATGGGATTTTAATTTGCTATGGAGTACCAGAGCGCTTTACAGAAACGATACCTATGGGGAATTAAGGTGACCTCAAATCCCCTCGAAAAGGAAGAGCAATACAAGAGGTAGCTCTCAGGCCACAGTAACCAAGTGGATAACGCTTTGGGATTTGAAGCGATGGATACTGGGGTCTGACTCGCAGTGTGAACATCCCTCACCAGAGGTAGGCACATCCAACTGACGAGTCTCAAATAGGACAACACGCGTATCCTGGATCTCACCACTCGACACAACGGAGCCAACTGCAACAATATGTAATTAGGGAATATCGAGGTATCCTCACAGGAGCCCATATGCAAACAGAGGTCAACCAATTTCATCCAACACAACAGCGGAGAATTGCAAGTATCAACATAATAATACGGGTGTCGATTCCTTCTCGGCGAAAAACGTAAGCATACTGCACATACCACAATATTATAACATATCGAAGTAAAATTTTAGTTAACTAACGTGCACAACTCAGCATGTTAGCAAGTCTACATTTCAGAAACCAAAACTGTTTCCAAAGAATATTTAAAACTTAGTGAAAACTTCCAATTCAGATACTGTGATCTCGTTATCAGTTATTCGGAAAAATGATAATTCTCCCCCACCATTGGTGAGATGATATCACGTAACGCACTGTCCTAGGTCAGTCCTCCGAATTAAGTCAGCCACTCATGAACTCTACAAGCCAAATCGAGTCTCTCCCATCCCAATAGCTTTGAAACACGCATGAAAACAGAGACAGATATATGCTAGGTGGATTTGATTGGTTAAAAGTCCAGATGAATGGCCAATATTAAAAAGCCATGCTGAAGTTGCTATTACGCATGTTGTTTGGCATAACAATTAAAATAACTATCCCAGCACAATCGTTGGCTCCAATCTACAAAATAAAAACGATCACTGAGAAACAACTACCGCTGAGACAAATCCTCCGTGATATATGGGGAAACTACAACCCAGGGCCATTTGTCCGCTCAAGATATTCATAAACTTTGTTTACAGGGTTGAGACCTTAAAAAAAATTAAAACTTATGAAAATGATGGCCAGCATGTCAAAATTTTCTTCTGTGTACTGTTATCCATCTAATGTTGTGATCTAGCTTCAGGAAAACTAGATGTGATCTAGTTGCTGCATACGAAAAACCACAAGCCTATTTCGTTTGTAAGGAGCTCATATTTTTCTAGTTTTTAGCCAGAAATCTGTATGCATTCGAAAATAGTTATCAGTCAAAAGATTAACTCTTTGACAGTATCAACTGGTTGTCCCGACGCTCTTATCCTTTCCTTAGTGAACAACAAGCAGATGAACAAAAAGCTCAATGCAAGAGTTCAACTTTAGCATTGTATAAGGATATGATTCGATATCAGATATATTAAACGTACCGACCAGTATTAATTTAGTGGGTAGTAATATCATCTCACTGTCTTTATTTGATACATCAAGCGAAACCAAACATAAAATTCCGGCACAGGTCTACAAAAGAATTTTTAGTCTTCTTTCCAAGTCACACTTACCTAGGACGATAAGTAACCCAAAAGATAACTGCTGCTTTCCCGTGATGGTCGTACTCGCACATCACAATGACATAACGAGCTATCCTGGTGAAAATCTAGTTCCGTCGACGTCGTACTACACCAGAAAGGTCTGTTGGACAACAAAAAAAGCAGTCAGTGATGACAGATTTCTAATCTACGATCGGAGGTCCGAGGAGGGAGTTATATTGCTGGCTAGACGCCGGTATAACAATAATGTATCTCT